AAAAAAAAAAAAAAACTATTTAACAACCTTAAAAACTGATAATCTAAACCACCCATTTAAAAAGGAGGAAAAGGATAGGCCCGGAGGCTCATGCCTGTAATCCTACCACTTTGGAAGCCGAGGCAGGAGGATCACTTGAGGCCAGGAATTTGAGACCATTCTGAGCAAGAGCGAGAACCCCTCTCCACAGAAAATAGAAAAATTAGACCAGCATGGTGGCACTCGCCTGTAGTCCTAGATACTTGGGATGCTGAGTCAGGAGGATCACTTGAGCCCAGGAGTTTGAGGCTACAGTCAACTATGATGACGCCACTGCACTCTAACCTGGGCAACAGAGGGAGACTGTCTCGAGGAAAAAAAAAAAACAAAAGATTTGAATAGATACTTCACTGAAGAAGATAAATGAATGTCAGATATGCACATAAAAAGGTGTTGAACATTAGTCATTAGGAAAATGCAACTTAAAACCATAATTAGATGCTACTGCACACTTAGTAGATTGGCTTTTTTTAAAAAAATCAACTGAGCAGCTGGAACTGGTCCACATTGCTCATGGGAGCAACTATTTCTACTTTGGGAAACAGTTTAGCAGTTAAATAAAGTTAAACATATACTTAGTATACAATCCAGCAATCCCATTTCTGGGTATTTACCCAAGTGAAATGAAAATATTGTTCATAAAGAAACTTGTACCCATTTGTTTATAATGACTTGAGGGGAGGAGGGTGGTGATGGATCTTGATTGTGGTGGTGGTTACATGACTGTTCTTTCGTTAAAACTCACAGAACTAGGCCGGGTGCAGTGGCTCACACCTATAATTCTAACACTCTGGAGGCCGAGGTGGGCAGATCGTTTGAGCTCAGGAGTTCAAGACCAGCTTGAGCAAGAACGACACCCCATCTCTACTAAAAATAGAAAGAAATTGGCTGGACAACTAAAAATATATAGAAAAAATTAGCCGGGCATGGTAGTGCATGCCTGTAGTCCCAGCTACTTGGGAGGCTGAGGCAGGAGGATCGCTTGAACCCAGGAGTTTAAGGTTGCTGTGAGCTAGGCTGGCACCATGGCACTCTAGCCTGGGGCAACAGAGTGAGACTCTGTCTCCAAAAAAAAAAAAAAACTCACAGAACTATACGTTAAAAGTGGTGATTTTACTATAGGTAAGTCATACCTTTCTTTATGAAAAGGAATACTCAATCTGAAATCAAATCAACGTATCTAACAATATAGGAGGAAAATCATAATCATTTTAATATATGCAAAAAAAAATTTGACAAAATTCAACACCCATTCATAGTAAAAAGTTAGCAAACTAGAACTAGAAGGAAATTTCCTTAATCTGATAAAGGGTGTGTAGGAAAAAGCTGCGAACATACTTTCCTTCAATATTAGGAACAAGGCAAGGATACTCTTCACCACTGTTAATTCATCATGGTACTGGAAGTCCTAACCGGGCACACAGATTTGTGGGTTTCAGCCATTTTCTAGCTGTTTGACTTTGGCAAGTTACTTAACCTTTCCTGGGATTAAAAAATGGTGGAGGGCTATAGGAAAGAGGATGATGATGTGCCATGCAAGATTTTTTTGTGGGTTCAATGAGATGCTTAACTAAAGCACCTAGCATAGTGACTTGGATATGGTAGTCATTCAGTAGATGGTAGGTAGTTTTGATTTCTGTTCTTTTTTTGTGACTTCTGATGAGGATAGCCTTGTTCCTTAAACTAAATCAAGATTAGAGTAAATTCCTATCCTGTAGTAGCACAGGAAGAAGAAGAAGTAAGGGAAAGAGAGGCATTTGACTACCTTTCACTTGGATAATTGAAAATTATTAGTTCCCTCCACTAAGGTAATAGAGAATATACAATTACCTGATGATAAAAATTTATTTCTGAAAATAAATCAAAATCTCTCTTGACTGGGCGTGGTGGCTCACGCCTGTAATCCTAGCACTCTGGGAGGCCGAGACAGGAGAATCATTTGAGGTCAGGAGTTCGAGCCCAGCCTGAGCAAGAGCAAGACCCCATCTCTACTAAAAATAGAAAGAAAGTAGCCAGACATGGTGGCACACATCTGTAGTCCCAGCTACTCGGGAGGCTGGGGCAGGAGAATCATTTGAGCCCAGGAGTTTGAGGTTGCTGTGAGCTAAGCTGACACCATGGCACTCTAGCCTGGGCAACAGAACAAGACTCTGTCCGGAAAAAAAAAAGAAAAATCTCTCATCTTGCACAGGTTGAGTCTCCCTTATCTAAAAATCCAAAATCTGAAATGCTCCAAAATGCAAAACTTTTTGAGCGCCAACATCATTTTCAAAAGAAATGCTCATTGGAACATTTTAGATTTCAAAAGTTTCAGATTAAGGATACTCAACTGGTAAGTATAATATAAGGTAGTCATATTCCAAAATCTGAAACACTTCTGGTCCCAGACATTTCAGATAAGGCATTCTCAGCCAGTACTACTTATGCAGTATTTTGTTGATATGATTTTATTAGGGAATAATTATAAGTATGTCAAACAATTTGGTTATGAGATTGTTTATAGTTGTATACTGTCACCTGGATAGAGATAATTTTTTTCAAAATTTTCTCATACAGGATATATTGATTTGTCAAAAAGAAGAGTTTCTCCAGAGGAAGCAATCAAATGTGAAGACAAATTCACAAAATCCAAAACTGTAAGTTGATTTTTGAATCAGATTAGTCCGCTATCTGTGTCTTTAATAAAGACTTAGCTTGTGTTCTTGACAGAAGAATGAAAACCAAAACCTGCATTTTTTATAACTCAGTATTTCTATTTCCAATTAACATGTTACATGGAAAAAATGATTTGAAGTCTTAATTTCAGAAGAGTATGAGTACCTTGTTTTTTTATCTCATGGTGCTACTACCTTGAAGCATTGCTGATGATCTAATATTTTCACATCAGTACTGGAATTTAGTATTTTGAAGCCATTTTAGGTTAAATTAACTATGGGTGACTTCAGCTGGTTTAGCTTATTTCTAATTGAGATGTTTCATAACACATAATTCTTGACTTTCAGCCTTATTCTGGGGAAAGAGTAACAGACAAGCACCTGTTGTATGTTAAGAATGAGCAAGGGTTTATAAAATTTCTTTGAATCTAGGAAAGCAAGGCAGGGGCCGGTTACTTTTCATACTGCTTTGCTGTAATTTCCTTCCTACTTACCCACAATAAGCACTGGCAAAGAACAACCATTTCATTTCTTCTATCTGTATTTCTCTATTTTGGAGTCCTCTTTAGATTATCCCTCACTCTACATCCTCAGAGCCTCAGTTTTAATTTTTGAGGCAGGGTCTTGCTCTGTTGCCCAGGCTAGAGTACAGTGGCATCATCATAGCTCACTGCAACCTCAAACTCCTGGGCTCAAGCGATCCTCCTGCCTCAGCGTCCCGAGTAGCTGGGACTACAGGCATACCACTAAGCCCAGTGAATTTTTCTACTTTTTGTAGAGATAGAGTCTCACCATGTTGCTCAGGCAGGTCTTGAACTCCTGGCCTCAAATGATCCTCCTGCCTTGGCCTCCCAAAGTGCTAAGATTACAAGCGTGAGCCACTGCTCCCAGCCCACCGTCAGTTCTTAATGGCACTATTTCCTTTGTTTCTGCTTTTTTTGCCCTTCCCTGGTGTCTGTTCTCTTCTGCCATGTTTCTGTCCTCAAGAGAAAATGCCCAAAAAAATAATGTTTGAATGAAGAGAAGATTTTAAACATCTTGCTTAATCCCAGTAGAAGAGAGAATAAAGTTTTAAAAGCCCTCAGACCATTACCCAAATGTTTTCCTTTATTTTACTGATTTGTTTACTATCATGCAATGTGGTTTGCACTTTTCGAAACACTATCAGTAAAGTCTCTTTTTGGGGTAGGAGGAGGGGAGTGGGTGATGGGAGGTTATTTGGAGAGTACAATGATTGTATGCAGTGAAGGCCCTGACTTAACCACAATGTAGTGTATCAGTATAGCAAACTTGCACTTGTACCTCATAAATATATACAAATAAAAAATAAATGGGAAAAAAATAAAAGGACACTTTCATGAAAAAAATCACAAAAAAAAGAATGAAATCTCAAAGCCTACAGTACATTTTGTAAAATGTAAGGCCGTTGCCAACAGAGGGCAACCTTGAAAGTTGATGGCATTAGCCATCCCGTATGCTATGGTTTGTGTTTCGTCTGGAATTGTTTTTAAAAAGAAAGAATTGATTTCCTAATAGCTTTCTTTTGCTTTTTATAAAAGGTGAATGAAAATCCGTATTATGCTTCATCACCCAAAAACTCTTTAATAAACTGTAGGAGCTTCCCACTCAGAATGTAATCTCTGGAGCAACAGCATTGGCATCAGCTGACTGGTTATTAGAAATGCCAAGTCTTGGGGCCCACCAAGTTTGAGAAGCATTGCTTTAGAAAACTTACATATTTTTTGTCTCCCCAGGATATTGTTAAAATGAATATGTTAATAGATCTTACGGGGATGATTAAGATGGAAGTTATTCATTGTTAGTACCTTTCCTCACTCAATTTTCATGTGTAACTAATATGAAAACCTCCCATCTCTAAACCCTGTTATTTTTAGGTTAGAAAAAGTTTGGCTCATGAGTAAGATTGAAGGATAATTATGAAAAGATAACAGCAAAAGAAATACTAAAATCTCAATCCTTTTTCTATATTTTTGAATGGAGTAGTAACAGCTTATATTTGTATGATAGTTTTCTGGTTATAGCGTGTGTTTGTATATATTTAATCTATGCAAGAGCTCTATGCAGTAAGAAGGGGAGATACTAGTATCTCCTTTTTCTACATGAGAAAACAAATTCAGAAATGTTAATTGTCCTATTGAGCCAGGACTTAGAACCCTAAATTGTGGACTATTTCTACTTGTTGTACCCACTTGAGTTAATTACTACAGGATGATGAATATTTCTCTATGGAGAAAGAACTTGTATGGAGATTTTTTTCTTTTCTTTTTTTTTTTTTTTTTTTTTTAAGCTGGATACCATTAATTAAATGGAGATTTTTTGTTGTTAAGGAATTATTGTCAAATTATGCTGTCTACTACAATGTAAAAATATCTTTTTTTTTTTTTATAGATCTCTTATCTTTGAATTGTTGAGCTCTTCATTTTCTTTCTAGGTTTATAGCATTCTTCGTCATGTTGCTGAGGTGTTAGAATACACCAAAGATGAGCAATTGGAAAGCCTATTCCAGAGGACTGCCTGGGTCTTTGACGACAAGTACAGGAGACCTGGATATGGTGCCTATGATGCATTTAAGCATGCAGTCTCGTAAGAATACCTTCTTGACTCTGCTTCTACCTTGATATCACAACTCTGAGTCTAGCACACAGGTTGATAGCCTGACACCTAATGGCACAACATCCATGTATTAAAGTCTTACCAACTTTAGATTAAAATATTGCAGTATAAAAGGCCATGATGTAGGCCAGTCCTACATGGTCAAGTCCATGTAGTTTCATATACCATAATTACATAGATTCATAAGCCATATGATTTCATCTCACACTGCTTCCTCTCACGTGTTCCTTTCTGAGTTTTATTACTAACCTAGGTGACTTTAGGATCAATGTGGGTGTCTCATCCAAAACTGTAACCTCTTGTTTTCTTTACTTCAGTTCCTTTGATCTTCAGCCCATACCACTTTAGCCAGTGTTCCATGTGACTTCAACTTGGGCCTTATTATCACTAAGATTTGCTCTGCCACTAAAACCTTCACACATTCTATTCTTTTGCTTAAGCCTCCTATCCTTCCAGTTCCCTCATAGTCCTACTCTGTTTCTTTTTGATTATGTATTAGCCTCTGATTCCAACCTTTTTCCTCCCTCTTTTTACCCTTTCCTGCCTTCTCTTTCTTATTCTTATCCAGCATAGACATGCCATGATTCATCATTTCAACTTCCTTGCCAATATCATGAGCTTTTGTCCTGTTTTTCCTTCTATTGCATTCAGCCTTGTATCAGTGTTCCCGCCTTCTCTGCACTTGTAGACTGCTGGATAGTGCTAGGAAAAATCATGGTCTTGCAGGTTCGTGCCACTGCATATTCATGGTCTCCAAACTTAGCTGAGCCTTCATTACTGCCCTACCCTCTCTCCTCCTGGTCAATTCTTCCATGTTGTAGTGGGTATTCTAGAGCTTCTGCATGCTCTTCCTCAGAAAACCTCTCTACCCCTCTTACCTCCCTCTCAGCTGGTGTGCTCACTACCCATAGAAGCCATTGCACAAGAACTACTCTTGTACCATCTCAACAAACGTATCTCTTCCCTCCTGTCATTTCCTCCTGTGCTGCTGTCACACTGGAATTTGTGTCCTTCCTGCTGTCACACTAATCTTAGCATATGTGCCAAGCTACTGCTCAGGGATCTCTTTCCATCAGTTACTCCCTCTCTTGGGTCTTCGCCTTTCTCTTTATTGCTTTTGCTCCATCAGCATAAAAATATTCTCTAGTTTCTTCCATTTCTACTAAAAATGAACTTCTCTACTTTCCCTCTTCTTTTTCTCATAAGCAAGCACTATGTCCTTCTAACAGTCACGCTCCCTCAGTTCTCTGCACTTGGTGTCTCTTCTTCACCTCCCACTCCTTCCTAAATTTCAGTGCTCCACAAGCAGCGTACCACCACACGGGGGTTACTTTCCCAACCTTTGTGCTGCCAAGAAATATTGGTCCCCTCAGCCCTTAGAATGGCTGAATGACACCTGGGACTTTTAGGGCCCCCAGCAAGCCAACTATTCCCAGTTTACCCTCATGTGGCTTTGTTTTTTTGTTTTTGTTTTGGTATTGTGTGGAAAGATGGGAATAATAATAATAGCTAACATTTATATAATTCTAACTGAACCTATGGTATAAGTGCTATTATTATTGCTATTTTATAGTTGAGGAAATTGCTTTGTTCAAAGTCACAGAGCTAACAAATCATAAAGCCAGTATTCAAACCCAGGCATTCTGGCTGCATTCAGAGTTTGTGCTGTTAACCATTAAGCACTGCTTTGTATTTCTGTCCTGAACACCTCAGTGAGTACATTTCTTACCTCACTGTCATCATCTGGCCCCAACTTACCTCTTTAGCTTCTAGCTCCAGTACCCGCTCTGTTACCAACATCCCTTTCCCTCTGCACTCCTCTTGCTTTATCACTCATGTAGCTATTGTCCACATGTAGCTAATGCTAATTCTTTGCCATATGTGCTTTATTTTTTTTTTCTTTTAATTAAGAAATAAAAGTTCTGAGATAGTTGGAAATAATGTCTTACCTCTCTAGACCCATTCCCCTCACTCATCAGTGGTAACCACTATTCTGAAATTATTAGTATGTATCATTTATGTTTTTATGGTTTTATTGCATATATATATCCATAAAGAATATATCAAATCATTTTTTTCTTTCACTTAAAATGTAATCTGTTACATCTTTCTGTAGCTTGCATTTTTATGTATAAGCTGTCAACTGAGCAGAATTTCTCCAAATTGATAGATGTATACTTCATTCGTATAGATTTCTTTATAGTATTTCATTGTGAGAATATGCTTTGTATGTTCCTCGTTCAAGAGGTATTCAGGTAAATTTTCCCTTTTGCCCCATTTTTTTAAACAGTGCTGTGATGAATATCTTATGTACATGTCTCCATGTATACATGTTTGAGTTTCTAAGGCATATACTTAGGAATGGAATTGTTGAGTCATAGAATTGAGATAGATCGATCAAGCAATCGATCTTTAAAATAACTTGGTTTTGCCAATATTACTCTCCAAATTGATTCTACAGCTTATATTCCCTCTAGTAATTGTGTAAGTATTTCTGTTTCCCCTCATCCATACCAACATTTGGTATATATTTCAGATTTTTTTTCCTTTTGCCAGTCTGGTGGATGTACATAGTATCTTTTGATTTGCATTCTCCTGACCATTTGTATTTCTTCTGTAAAACATCTGTTCGTCTCATTTGCCCATTTTCTGTTCATTTGTCTTGTTGGTTTGTCTTCTTGTTACTTTGTATTAGCTGAATGAAAGTTCCCTCCACCCGAATTCTTTCCCCTTTCATTCTTTAACCAGATCCCTTGCTTTTTAAGCCTGATGCTTGCTCATGCCATTCCTTTTTTATATATCATAACTTTTTAAAAATAATTCTACCTTCATTTGTTAAAGTACTACCATTCTTTTGGTCATTATTTCATTTGTTCATTAGTTCAACAAACATGCTAGTTACTGCAACCCTGGTCCCTGTTTTATGGCACTTAGGAGGGCTACATGAAATGCCCCTTTGTGCATGATGAAGCCCTTCCTGACCCCATCAATTGGGAGGAATACCTTCCTCTCCTGATGCCAGTGGCTGTACTTTTACATTTACAAACTTTTCCATGTCTTTTCTCTTTTCAAGATAGATTATAAATTCCTTGAAACAGGGACTGCTAATTACATGGAAGTACCTAATTGTAGTGGAATGTCAGGTGTATTAGAAGGTATTGAATTACTTCTTTTAGCCAGATCTCTAAAATTTTTCTCTTAATAATAATCAGTTGGGTGTTTTCTGTTTGTCATACACTGCTAAGTAATTTACTTGCATTATCTCATTTAATACTCAACACATTCCTGTGAGATAGACTCTTTTCATCCTCATTTTACACATCTGTAAACTGAGGTTTAGAAAGGCCCAAAGACACATAGTTATTTTATTAAAGTGCAAAGCTAAGATTTGAACTCTAATTCTGACGTTAAAGCCTGTGCTTTATTGTTATGTACATTATTCCATGGTGTTTGATTTTATAATTACCAGTAATGTAACCTTGACCTTTTGTGTTTTGTTTTTGTTTTTTAATCAGAGACCCATCTATTTTGGATAGTTTAGATTTGAATGAAGATGAACGAGAAGTACTCATTAACAATATTAATAGGCGTTTGACCCCACAGGCTGTCAAAATTCGAGCAGGTAAATGATTTTTACAGTATTTTACATGCTTCAAAAAATCTGTTAAACCGAGCATGGTGGCACGTGCCTCTAGTCCCAGCTATTCAGGAGGCAGGTGTAGGATTGCTTGAGCCCAGGAATTCAAGACCAGCCTTGGCAATACAGTAAGATCCCCCATCTCCGGAAAAAAAAGCAGGGAGGGACTGTCAAATAATAAGACTTAGCAAAGAATATGTTGCTGCATCAACATTTGTAAATTGTTCTAAATGTTTATTTTTTTCATAATAAAAGCTTAAGAGGCCGGGCGCGGTGGCTCACGCCTGTAATCCTAGCACTCTGGGAGGCCGAGG